AGGCAGGTTAATACTAGTTTAAAAATAAATGAGCAGCCTGTAGAGTTAGTGGATTCTACAAAGTTTCTGGGTATTACTTTAGACTCGCATCTGCAATGGGATCCTCATATTGATGCCTTATCAAGTAGACTGAGCTCTGCGGCCTTCGCTGTTAAAAAAATAAGACTCCTAACTGATGTGGAAACGGCAAGAATGGTTTACTTTGGTTACTTTCATAGCGTTATGTCATATGGCCTTTTGTTGTGGGGCTCAGCTGCTAATATAGAAAGTATTTTCGTACTGCAAAAGAGAGCTGTTCGCGCCATATATAATTTAAAGGCAAGAGAATCTCTTAGAGAAAAATTTAAAGAAATTAATATTTTAACACTGGCATCGCAATACATTTATGAAAATATAATATATGTAAGAAGAAACTATGACGCATTTGCAAAAAAAAGTCAAACCCATAACTTAAACACGAGATTTAAGAACAAGCTTGCCGTTCCATGTTTCAGACTCCAAAAATCTAGAGGTTCATTTCTGGGATGTAGTATCGCATTGTTTAACAAAGTTCCCCAAGATCTGATTGAGCTTCCACTAACCAAATTTAAATCTCAGATTAAGAATACTCTTATGAATAAGGGCTATTATAAAGTTAATGATTATCTAAATGATCGTAATGCATGGACATAGTGTTTCTTGTAATTTCTTATTTGATGGGTATGAGTCAGTTTTGTAACAGTAGTATGGTACCTATCTAATGCCGCTTCCTATATATACTAAATATAAAATTTGTTGTAACTATATATCTATACCCTAAATAATGTAATGGAAGGTGACTTCAGAAGTATGTCTGAAGTCATTTTTCAACTTGACGACTCTGTATATATCAATACAGGGAGAAAAAAGCAGCCCTTGCTGAGTTTCTTGCCGGTTCTTCTCAGTACAAGGTCTCCCGCCGTAGTTTTGCGAACCGATGGCGTAGCTTCTTGACTTTCACAAGTGCTTGTAACAGCCTAGACTGAATAAATGACTTTTCATTTCATTTCATTTCATTTCATAATTTACGTAACTAAAATATAGAAACTAGGTAAAACATACCTACCTACGTACTCGTATAGTCCATTCGCTTAGATAGTACTATAGGTACACACGCACGCAATTGCGGTTATTGTAATAAAGTACGAATAAAAGTAATACACACATTAATAATTCATAGTAATTAAAAATCAATGTTTTGTTCACAGTGTATTCATCTTAATTAAACAATAATAATTAACTTAAATATTTTTTATTTATTTCAAATCTCACATATCTATCAGGCACTTTTAAATCACAATAATATTGTTTTGAACATTATTTTTATTCAATAATATTCTTGGTACATTGTTTCAAAAACTTCTATATTTTTTTGCATTAATTCAAATCTTTCATTGCCTTCGCATTTGTCCAGTTCGTGTGCAATAAACTTGCAAAACATAAGGTTGTATTTTCATCGATTTCGATGGAAAATGGTGATGTTGTTGTAGATGTGTCCGTCATTCTTTGAATTGATTTTGCAACTTAGGCATTTCCTTAGAGTAAGGCTTAGACCGCACTATGGTTCTTTCCCGCAAGCGGGAAACCGCCAAACCGCTAAACCGGCCGAAGCGCACACACTACGATTAAAAACCACAAAACTAGACACGATTATCACAGCTTGTAATTTAAGAAATTATACAGTTTTCCATTGTTAGCGGTCTGACGAATAATGATAGAAACCGCCCGCGGTTACCGCATCAATGTGTGCGCGTCAATATATATATATTGTATGGACTACAAATTTTGGCGCGGTTTTTACCCGCGAGCCATTCTGTAACAAATCGCGGTTTTAAAATCAGTCGCGGGAAAAAAACCGCTGGTGCGGGGCTGCTTGCATTAGTTTCCATGATTCACAAAACTACGCGGTATAAAACCGCGGTGGTTTCGCCGTAGTGCGGCCTAGCACTAACAAAGTCTAGTCTAGTCTTTATTTCTTTGGTCATAGGGAATTTCAGACTGGAATACTGGATGTCGTATTCGACATCAGACCATATTTTATGTTTTTAAAGGCTTATTGTCAGCGTATTCAGTAAACAAATTCTCTGATGCTTCGACGTTTTCTACATCTGATTCAGAATCAGATTCTGGTATGGGGCCGTTCAAGTATTACGTAAGCACTATAGGGGGGCAGGGGGGTCTACGCTTTGCTTATTTTTGATGACATGGGGGGAGGGGGGGTCGAGATAGTCATTACGTCAGCATCATGGATTCGCCATGGACTGAAGACTGTTAATGAGAATTAATATGTATACCAAAAATTCGAAAGTAGTGTGTGTAGTTCGTAATAGTACTTAATAAGATTATAATATTTGTACCTTTCTCTATGTTGAATACTGTGTCAATAAAGTTTATTTAAATTAATATTATGTGCGTTAAAGTGCTCTATCCTAAGCCTATTTAAATACTGCTGCTCATGAAGCTCATGTAAGCTCATGAAATAATAAAAAAAACAGAATACATTAAAGGAAAAATGCATATAGGTACCAATGTTTACGTAAGCATGGGGGAGGGGGGCGGGGTAAGAGCTTTGCTTACTCTTGCTGACAAGGGATAGGAGGGGGTAAATCTGCTTACGTAATACTTGAACGGCCCCCATGGTGATATTATCTGAAAAAAAATTAAGTAAACAGAGAATATTAAAAATTATAAAGAAAGCTTTACAAAAAAATTAACAATCAATTAGGTATTTTTTTTCCAACGTATTCTCTAAGTTATATTCAAACATTTACTGTGACAAATAAAATTATTTTAGTGCCATAAGTACGTATTCGTTTTAGTCTTGGTATGGCATCACAATTATTGCAAATCTCGGCAAATCTTCGTATTTTTTATTTAATAGGAACCTATAAAAAGTTTCAAAGCAACCAGTAGAAGTACCTACAGTGAATTGGTAGAATTCCATTTTCCGCAGTGTAATCTAGTGTAATACATATTTAGATAATTATAATGATACTTACCTATTACTTTACGTTATAATTGTGGTATACTAACACAAAATAGGGTAAATACTTACCAATGGACATCACTATGCTCGAATTCTACACTATTTACTTGAAGAATTAAACAAAACAGTTTACTTCAGAGTTTGCCATGAATTAAACGCACGTAGTCTGTCTCACTCGCTCGCGCTATACTGGCCCTACTACCCGCTGTGTTTCGGCGGATATGCGCGCGCCACTTCGTCCCGCCGCCCGTCGACAAGCCGGCATCATCGCACAACTCGCGATATGCATTTCAAGCCGCTTACGGCATTTAAAGGTGGTTTTTAACCGTAACAAGCATAAAAAACGGTTAATCAACCGTTAATAATGAAAAATGCATTTTTAACCGCTTGGTTAAAATGGTTAATAACCGGTTTCGCATCTATAGCTCTGACCTTAGAGGATATACCAATCCAATGGTATTATTATGCACTGACGACAATATTTTAATCGGGATCGTAACGCAATCTGAGAACGTAATCACCTCGCCTCGGGACACGAGCTTGTCTGAGGCGAGGGCGAGGCGATTACGTTTCCCGTCTGCTCCAGACACAGTTTCTACCGGGGCCAGTGCCGGCTAGGTTTGTTCAAGGGCACGGTTTGTAATTTACTATTCTACTCAAAGACTTTGTACCGACAGCAAACCGTCACTAGCGCCGGTGTCGTTACCAAGTCTCCAGAGTGTAGTGAGTGTCCCATACTTAACTGATGACCGGGCGTAGACACAGATTAAAACCATGCCTAGACGCGGCTAGAAATCGTCTCGATAACAAACGCCCTTACGATTCCGATAAAATTAGTGTGCGTTGCAGGAGTTTCATAAAGAAGAGTTACTGAACGGTAAGAGGTGATAATACGGTGACGATACCTTTCCGAGTACGACCGCTGGAACATTTAAGCCCAGAACTACTTTTCTCAAGGAGTAAAAGTAGTACCACATTTTGATCATATAGGTATATTAAATTTTAATGTGCTTTGATTTTTGATTATGAAATTATAATTTTGCACGAATTGCTTTAATTATCAGTATAAAAGTACTATCATTTGTGTGGTAGAAAATATTGTAATATTTATTTATTGCGCTATCGTACACAAACATGACAATTTATATTACATTAAAAATTTTAACTTTCAGAAAAATCAACTTACATGAGTTACATTTAAGCGCACCTAGCGACATCTATTGTAAAAAAAAACATTTTCATCGCAATAAAGCTGCCACCTGGATGTCCTAGATAGAGACATTATTATAATACGATAAAATAAAATATTACTATGTTTCGTCCAATATATTGAAAGTGAACAACCTTTCCAATTTAATTGTTTTCGTCTTACGAATTTTCGATTAGCCCACGTGTCCTGACGCGATCTGTACCCCTAGCACGAACCAATATCGAATTCGTATCGTTTGCGAGTCCGAAATGTCAATGTCAAATGTGTTCTGATCTTTAGTTCTCGCTACGGACTCGCAAACGATACGAATTCGATATTGGTTCGTGCTAAGGGTACTGGCCACTTGTCCTGAAGCGAGTTGAACATTTTTTACCCATACAAAAAAAGTGTACAACGCCGCTAAAAAAGTTTTCGCTTCAATAATGTGACAACGTTCTAAGTTAATTTTATAGCATAACAAGTCACTGAACTAGTTATCTTTTAAGAATTTCAGTTGAAAACAGAAGACGAAAATACGAATGCATAATGGTAGCCATACACACTACGAGAAATCGTTACGATCAGACTGTACAGTTCGAACGGAACAGTTTATCGTACGTGGCGTACGTATAGGAAACTGTGCAGTTTTATAACATACACGCTACGATTTATCGGTACCGTTCTGACGGTACAGTCTAATCGTAACGATTTCTCGTAGTGTGTATGGCTACCATAAGGTTTATTCTGTGTCGCGAAAGTGTCACAGTATATGTCGTGATCAAAGAGTACTTTTAAATACTGGTCGTGATATGTCACAGTCACACTGAATCGCACACAGAATGATCACAGGGTAATGATAATTCCTGTTCCCTGCAATTTGGCAAAGTAAGACTATTTACTTGTAAATAAGTTTATTCACTAGTTAAATGACTAAATATGGCACTAACGAAACTGTATACAAAGGTAAGATTTGAAAATGCATAGCTTATTGAGCCGAGGTGCACACCTATCTATCCAAATCTATAGTAGGTAAGTACCATTTCCGTGTTCGGGTAAGCTTAGGCATCTGGGGAAGGTATACTGTACTTCTTGGGCCCAAGAGGTGATACTTCACACTAGGTTAGGTTAGTGTTGTGACTATACCGAGCTAGCCAAACGAGCAAAGCGAGCGCGCCGCGGCAGCGGCCGGTGAAGGGCCAGAAAAAAATCGTTAATAGAGACCTGTACAACAAAAAAAATACAAGTATCACCTCTTGGGTCCTGGGAGTACAGTTTTACCATTATGCCTTTTCTGCCCACCGGTTGAAGTATGACGAGGGTACGCGAGACTCTTTTGGATTCCACGTCTTAAGAGTTTGAATCAACCATATTTTATAAATATTTAGTTACCTGATCAGTTAATTAGGTACTTAATTTTTCAGCTAGCGTAGCGTACTTAAATTGCAAAAAACCTTATTAAATTATAATCAGCTGTCCTTCCATGTAAATGATAGGTAGTTACTTTTATACTTTACAGAAATGACGATTCGAAACAAAAGTCCATGTGATGTGGATGATATTACAGCAAAGGCCATTGGTGATTTCGGGCCTTGGCAGCTGAGGATTAGTGTACTAATGGCATTACTGAAATTGCCCATGGCTTGGTATCAGTTGAATATAATATTCATGGCTCCACCACAAGATTTCTGGTGCGTGAAACCGAGTAAACTTTTCAAGTATTCGGATGAAGAGTGGAGACAAATGTGTATGCCGGTGAGATTCGCCAGTTTCAAAGATGTTATTTTTATGTTTCAAATATGATATGTCACGCCATACCGAGGAACAAAATAAACATATATGAAAGAATGCCGCTTCTTCGCGAAATGGTAGTCTATCAAAGAAAACCTAAGTTCTTTCCGTATCTAAAGGTGAGGCGATGGGCGGTTGCTAATCCAGATCGTCACTCTGTCCTAGTGGGGACGATACTTACTGAGCGTCAACCGGTGCGCCGCACAGTGGGTGAAAAAAAGAGGTCCCCTTTCATAGGATTTTTAAAAAAATAAAAATGTATATTATCCGTTTAAGGTATGCGGTTTTATTGGACATATCAGTACATTGAATAATAAAATAGTTTGGGGAATTTCCTTTTAATCTAACACCATAAAGCACGGGCTTTAGAGTTTCAAATGTATGAAAACGGAATTTGTTTTGCTCATAACTTGTCTTGGTCTTCTACGGTCAAGCTGAAACTAATAGGGATTATTACCGGGTCTGTTACGAAGCCATGTGACCTTTGACCTTCACCCCGGACGGCCCCGTTCAAAAGATACGAATTTTTCAAAATGCTTATTAGGGTAATTTTGCTTTACGGGGTTATGTGTCTCAATAAACAGTTTGTTTATGTTTCTTGTCCAGCATTTAGTTATTAATACAGCGCAGATTATTATCTAATAAAACTATACATATATATATAGATAACGACACCATACAACTTAACTTTAAATAAAAGCGTCCTTATTCAAAAGATATGGAATTAATATAAATAGATAAAAGAAATAGTTTTAAGAAAAAGAAAACAAGAATACAATATTGTAAAGAATTACAATGAAGTCCTTTACAGCCTACAATTTAATCTTTTGTTTGACAATCGCTTAAAAGCCGCGCGCCATTAACGAGAGCATCATTACATATAAACAATACAAAGTCTATTGTTGCAGGTTTTGAGGAATTCAAAGGGTTACCCACAGTCATTACCTGCCGTTGTTTGCCTATAATAATTACTGATTATTTGCTTTTATTGTGGGTAGGTGAATAAATAATACGTTGTTATTATTATTATTCAACAATGACTTCGATTATAATAAATACGGAGTACACCTGTATTTCATTTCACTTATCATTATTGATTCGTACCGTAACGTTCTCTTTGCTCAAATTTTAAGTTGCTCAGAATGGAAGGGCTTGTGTCTAATCTCGACGTATATATATATATGAGGCAAAAATCTTTTAGTGCCGACATGTTATTTCAAAAAGTACTCGATTCAGTGAGATTTTCATTATCTGAAGAACAAAAGACAACTCTTAAAACGTTTTGTGCTACATATACGAGTAATCTTAAACGCAAATGGAAGTCAGCTAATTACACACAAGGGAATTTTATAAAGAAGTTTGCAGACTGGTTGGACCAAGAAATAAAATGGCCAGAGTTTGTTTCACTAGACATAACTGAAGAACAATCAAATATTATGACGAGTTTTGAAGATCCTTCAACAAGTATTTCAACAGTAACAAGACCTAGTTTATCAACGGAATGCACTGTTCCTCATAGTGTGGCTGTGTCGACATCAACCGCTACATTTAGTCCTCGAAAAGAATTTGCCAATTTGAGTCCACTGCAAAAAAGAAGAAGAACTGAAAATCTCATTGCCGAAAACGATTTTGAGACACTTGCTTATGCCCTGGCTAGGAAAGCGGAAAATGAAAACCAAACGGACTTTGTAGAATTAGTGAAGCATTTGATTAAAAAGCCTGAAGATGCGTCAATGCTGCGAGCCTGCCTAAAATCGACGAAACGAACTTGTCATACCGATAAGGCACTCGGTATTTCAACATCACTGAAATTATCGAAATGGCAGTATATTACATTGAGGCAGACAATGAGAGACATGGGGTGTGATATACTTCCATCCCCATCGTATGATGCTTTGAAGCAAGAGAAGAAGGAGTGCTACGTTGAAAAAGAAGACATGGTAATAACTGAGACTGAAGTTAAACTTAAACTTCAGTCTATTTTAGATATTACGGTCAAGAGACTATTAAAAACTCTGGAAACTGATTTAACTGGCAGTAATTCGACTCTTATCAGTAAATGGGGGTTTGACGGTGCATCTGGGCAAAGCAACTACCAACAAAAAATTGACGGCGATGATTCAAGCATCTTCATGTGTTCATTTGTGCCGTTAAAACTGGTGAGAGATTGTACTGATGAAATAATATGGGAAAACCCCAAAGCGTCTTCAACGTTTTACTGTCGACCCATTTATTTTAAGTTTGCTAAAGAGAACGATTTGAATGTTAAAGAAGAAATGACTTCAATTGATACGGAAATTGCTGCTCTACATCCAACTGTTATCGATGGTGTAAATGTAAAACACGTTCTGCATATGACGATGATTGATGGTAAAATAACTTCACATTTATCAGATACATCCACAGCTACATGCGATATATGCAAAGCAAAACCAAAAGAAATGAATGATATCGACAAGGTTACTCAGAGAACCCAGTCTGTAGACATGTTTAAGTTCGGTCTGTCTTCCCTCCATGCACGAATTAGATGCATGGAATATATCTTACATATTGCTTACCGTCTCGACTTCAAGAAATGGCAAGCTAAGGGCGAAGATTTGAAGCAACAGTTAAGCCAAAGAAAAAAGGCTATTCAAGAACAATTCCGGACTGAAACGGGGCTACTTGTGGACGTTGTTAAACAAGGGGCTGGTACAAGCAACGATGGAAACACAGCAAGAAGATTTTTTGTTAATCCTCAAATTACTGCTCAAATAACGGGTGTTGATGAAGAACTCGTTAGAAGATTTGGAGTGATTCTTCAGGCTATCTCATGTGGAGAGTTTGTGGACGTGGAAAAATTCCGCCAATATTGTGCTGCTACAGCACGCAAATATGTCGAGCTCTATGAATGGTATTATATGCCCTCAAGCGTGCATAAATTACTCATTCATGGTGCCGATATAATAGAGCACAATAACTTTATACCAATCGGCAAGCTCTCTGAAGAGGCCTCTGAAGCTCTTAACAAAGATTTTAAAAACTTCAGAACCTTCCACTCGCGTAAATCTAGCAGGATTGCAACAAATGAAGATATTATCAATAATTTGTTAATATCGTCTGACCCATACCTATCAAGTTTCAGGCCTAAAATATGTCAACGAAATAAACCTCTCACAAATGAAGCTAAATCATTATTATTAACTTCTTGTGAAGATAAGGAAAATATAGAGTTTGTAGATGTAGGTAATGTATCTGATTATGACTTTGATTAGTATGTGTTCTTTCCCTCAAATCAAATTATATCAAACTTTGTATTTTTATTTTTTTGTATCTTTGTATCATATTAATATAAACAGTTTACATATTAAGAACTGTTGTAGCCAATTTGAGTTCTACTAATCTTTTATACTTTAGCTTGTATGTGTGTAGTAATTTATACAGTTGTGGCTTCCTTATTATGCATTATTTAATTTATGATATCAAGCTTAGTTAGTAATTTAAGTTTTGTAAATAAAAATATTGATGTTAATAATTTTGTTTTATTCATAATGTAAATAGTTTATTTTCTCGTTTGGCAGTAACATATCAGAATCTCCCTTACTACATTTACTAATATTAATAACCAGCTATAGTTCATTCGCGTTAAGAAAATAGTGACTCATCACCGACTGCCGGCCAAGCCACGCCCCCTAGCCAATAAAAACGCTAGAAATTAGTAAGGCGAGTTCACAGTGCTCAGTTGAAGTCAGACCTTCGAACTGATCGGTTGTGTATTTTGCGTACTACTTGTTTAAAATTAAATTTGGAAAATGGATATCTCACCTATTAAAAAAAATAAAAGTGGATCAATTATACATAGCGGAGAGAGACGCGTAATTTACAATGTTTATAAATATTTCAAACAGATTGATTTAAATGAGACTGTGGAGAGCATAGTAATTAAAACTGCAAGTGCATGCGGTGTGTCCGAAAACACTGTTTATAAAATTATAAAAGAACAAAAAGAAACGAATACATTGAAATCACCTGTGAAAAAAAGAGCTCGACTATCCACGGTCGATAAATTAGATGAACTAGACAAATGTGCAATAAGGAGAAAAGTACACTCTATATATTTAAATAACGAGTATCCAACATTGGACAAAATAATAACACTTTGCGAAGCTGATGAAGATATTCCTGTTTTCAAACGTACAACACTTCACAAAATACTGCACGAGCTTGGTTTTGACTTCAATAAACAAGATAGTAGAAAATTGTTAGTGGAAAGAGAAGATATTGTTTTATGGAGGCGAAAATATTTAAGACAAATAAAAGAATATAGAAACGCTAATAAAACCATTTACTATCTCGACGAAACGTGGGTAAACGCCGGACACGTAAAAACAAAAGTGTGGTTGGATACAACAATCAAGAATAAAAGACAAGCTTTCCAAGATGGCTTATCAACCGGCCCAAAAGCTCCGACAGGGAAAGGGAAAAGGTTAATTATATTGCACATTGGCAGCGAAAAAGGATTCCTGGAAGATGGTTTACTAGTCTTTGAATCTAAATCTACAAAAGATTATCATGAAGAAATGGATGGTGAAAGATTCCTTAATTGGTTCAATGGTATAATACCGAAGCTTGAACCAGGAAGTGTGGTTGTCATGGATAACGCTCCCTACCATTCGGTAAAAGTTGAAAAAATACCCACGGCCAGTTGGAATAAGCAGCAAATACTAGAGTGGTTGCAAAACAAAGACATATCTATGGATATGAGTTATTTGAAAAAAGAATTATTATTGAAAGTCGCCGAAATCGCCCCACAATATAATAAATATTTAGTAGATGAGACTGCTAAAAACAATGGCATTACAATTCTTCGTCTGCCGCCTTACCATTGTAAATTAAATCCGATTGAAATGGTGTGGGCCCAAATAAAAAATTATATTGCTGCGAATAATACTACATTCAAAATGAGTGACGTAAAAAAAAAATTTTATGACGCAATCGCGTTAGTAGACGCCAATCGGTGGAAGAAATGCTGCGACCACGTGATACGCGAAGAAAATACCATGTGGGGTTTGGATGACGTCATGGAACATGCAGAACAAAATTCATTCGTAATAAATGTAACGGGAGAATCTAGCGATACTGATTAGCGATTTAAGTACTTAGTTTTAAGACAATTTTGTATTTTTTTATTTTAGTACTTATTACGATTAATCCAAATATGTGTTACTCTACTAATATAGCGTTTAAGTTGACATTAAAAATTACCTTAATAGGAATATTTTAACATGTTTAAAATCATTGATACTTTATTATTTTTCTATTAAACTTATTTAATGTTTTGAAAAAAAATGTTTAATTTTTTCTCCATTATGAATACACCCTTACCCTGCAGTTGCACTGATGAGTCACTATTTTCTTAACGCGAATGAACTATAGTTTATCTGGAAAAACACTTTGTTCATTTTAAGCTTAGTCAGTTAAAGTTCTAGGTATCCCAAAATAAACATATTTGATCAAACCCTTTCTTAGATAGACATTGTAAGTGTAAGTATGTTCGTTTGACAAAATTAATTATTATAGGCAAACAACGGCAGGTAATGACTGTGGGTAACCCTTTGAATTCCTCAAAACCTGCAACAATAGAGTTTGTATTGTTTATATGTAATGATGCTCTCGTTAATGGCGCGCGACTTTTAAGCGATTGTCAAACAAAAGATTAAATTATAGGCTGTAAACGACTTCATTGTAATTCTTTACAATATTGTATTCTTGTTTTCTTTTTCTTAAAACTATTTCTTTTATCTATTTATATTAATTCCATATCTTTTGAATTAGGACGCTTTTATTTAAAGTTAAGTTGTATGGTGGCGTTATCTACTGTGTAGTTTTATTAGATAATAATCTGTGTTATATTAATAACTAAATGCTGGGCAAGAAACATAAACAAACTGTTTATTGAGACACATAACCCCGTAAAGCAAAATTACCCTAATAAGCATTTTGAAAAATTCGTATCTTTTGAACGGGGCCGTCCAGGGTGAAGGTCACATGGCTTTGTAACAGACCCGGTAATAATCCCTATAAGTTTCAGCTTGACCGTAGAAGACCGATACAAGTTATGAGCAAAACAAATTCCGTTTTCATACATTTGAAACTCTAAAGCCCGTGCTTTATGGTGTTAGATTAAAAGGAAATTCCCCAAACTATTTTATTATTCAATGTACTGATATTGTCCAATAAAACCGCATACCTTAAACGGATAATAAACATTTTTATTTTTTCACAAATCCTATGAAAGGGGACCTCTTTTTTTCACCCACTGTGCGCCGTCGACATTTAGGAATCTTTATGGGGGCTGCCAACCTTTTACATAATAAAAAAAATTTGGGCATACGTGGGTATTACATTAGAGCGTCCGCCTGGGGAAGCATTCTCCATTTGACTGAACAATGCAAAAAACAAATACTAATGCGCAGTGACCGAGGTTGCTATGGCAACGCGTAAGTGCAATAAAAAACTGACCCGCTGTTATATGTATGTATTAGTTTATCGCATATTCGAAATTGATTTTCTCTCATTTGCCATAAAATGAGATGAAGTAAGAATTAGTAAGGCTTTTTTATACACCTATTTAAATATTAAAGAGGACAGATTTGTATGTTTAAAACGAACCAACTCGAAAACTACTTAACAGATTTTTTTAAACTAACATTAGAAAGCTCAAAAGCTATGTCCGAATCATCGGGAAAGAAGAGTTCCGGTTCGATTCTAGCCGAATTTGTCAAATTTTCAGTAAGAACCTATACTGACATAGGACCTACTTTGTAATCAGAGTGCTATTTCATTTTAGCACATAGAAGAATATCCGTGTCTGATATTTGATCCAGATCTATTGGCAATGGCACCTGAGATGGAACGAAAAAACATACCACTGGTTGAGTGCAAAAAGTTCATTTTCAATAAAACTGTGTTCCATAGAACTATCACTTCAGAGTGGAATTTAGTTTGCTCTCAGCACTGGCTAGTACACGTATGTTACGTACCTACCTATTTATTGATAGCTTCGAAGAAATAAAATTGATTATTTTACAATATACGAGTATTTAAGGCAAGATTCGTAAGACATTCCCTAAAGTGTTAAGAAATTATTTTATAAATATACTTCATAGAAGGAAGATTAGAAGCTTTAGTTCCTTCAAGATGGTGCTATTTTCTTCTATTTGTAAAAAATATAAAATGACTAAAATTTCTCAGTCTGCGTTTCTGTTAGGATTGCTAATTGTTGCCAAATATTATTTCAGTTAACACAGTGTGTAATGATGTGGGGAGTGTTATTAGGTGGCATAATTTTTGGCGTCATAGCTGACAAATACGGCCGAAGGATGCCCCTTATGGTTGCAATCATAGTGCAGAGTATTGCAAGTTACGCTGCGAGTGTATTTCCATACTTTCGGGGTTGGCTGGCCATTTGGTTTATTTTAGCGCTGTGTTCAGGAGGTTTGGGTATCATATCTTTTGTTATTTGTATGGAAGTAAGTACGTAGATATCAGCTATACTATTCTAATAATTACATAAAATATATCGTCTGTACCATAATCTATACTTATTAACAGGCAGTAAGCGGTAAATGGCGAACAACAGTCCCAATTTTGTACCAATTGCCGTTTGGATTCGGCAGTTCAATAATGGCAGTATTAGCATATTTTCTTCGTGATTGGCGACAGTTGGAATTCGCCTTAGCAACTTTGTCTGCTTTATTCATTTTATACTGGTTTTGGATTCCCGAATCACCTAGATGGTTATTAGCGACTGGTCAAAGCGATAAAGCTCTTGGTAGGCGTAAAAGATTTCGATAACTAACCTAAGTACCCACTCTTTATCATGATTTTCTCAGGTCCGTAATAATTGTTTTATTTTAGAAGTGTTAAGACAAGCTGCAATCCAAAATCATAGAGATGGAAACTTGAAAATCATTAGAAATTCACTACCGAAGTGTAAGGGCCAGAAAAACACGGTGCTAGGATTTATGGCATTCTTTAAGTTGAATAACATGAGGAAGAAGACTTTACTTTTATCTGCTAACTGGTAATACTTATTTGAAACTGGTATCAAATGTAAACTGTTCATACTAAAGATACTTACTAAATTTTCTCTTTTTAGGTTTTGTACGGGATTAGCGTTTTATGCTTTCTCCCAATATCTTGGCATGATTGGAGGAAATATATTTCTAACTGTGGCTATTAGCGGTATCATTTATGTACCTGGTGGAATCGTTTGCCTTATTGTGGTGGCTAAAGTAGGGCGTAGAGCCACCGTGTGGACATTCCAAGTTATCACAGCAATATGTTTTGTTTTTATTGTAATGACACCTAAAGACGTCTTTGCGAACGATTGGCCGAGATTAATTTTCGCAGCCATCGGGTTTGGGGGATTGGCAGTAAGTTGGAATCCCTATGTTATTTATTATTTACATTAAATTTATGAAAGACTAGCGGCCGATTTCATACAGTTGTATTAAATACTATGGAAACATAATGAAACAGCAATTATCTGATTTTTCAGCTTAGCAAAAAGTTACTGAGTAAACAGGTCGAGTATATTAAATCTATTTGGCCTTGGGCATGGTCATCCTGATTTTTCTGTTTAGCAAAGAGTTACTTTTAGGCATTTAGGTTGGGTTGAATATCTTTTTATACCGGAATACCCAAGGGAACGGAAACTTCGCGGGTAAAACCACGGGGCGCAGCTAAAGTATTTTCCAATAATTTACGGCGAAGTTCAGGAAAAATACAAAAAATTAAAAAATTTGTACTAACGTCCTTTTTTTCTGAGATTGTGTAAGTTTTGGGCAAGCCTTATTTTTAAATGATCACAAATTTTCAGCTTTCAGAAAAGTATCAATTCAGTGTTTAGAGTAGAGTAGTTTATTGACAATTAATGGTTTTCGGCAGCAAGTCAGAAAAAATCTAAAAAAAGCGAAGAACCGTCATAATTCAGTAACGATCCAGTTTTGACCCCCTAGTTTATTTATTTTATTTATTTAAACTTTATTGCCACAATTACAAAATGGACAAAAGGCGGACTTAACGCTAAAAGCATTCTCTGCCAGTCAACCTTTAGGAGTACAGAAAGACACGAATGCGGCTTTAGTAAAGAAGTAATTAACTAATATAAACATACCATAATAGAAAGTACTTATCTTATACATAATAACTAAATATACATGAGCACAAGACATATAAATATATATATACACACACACATACAATAATATATATATATATATATATATATATACACACATACATATATATAAAATCTATCGATGATGAGACTGAAAGGGACTTATGAAAGGAGTTTAACGTTAGTGTGGAAGGCTATCCAGAAGAAATGCATGAATTTTCTTTTTAAAAATTAACCTATTAGGTGACTTTCTAATGGAGTCAGGGATGCTGTTCCAGAGTCGTGAAGATTGAAGGGCAAAGGAATCAGACATATAGCCAGAGTGAACGAGAGGTTGGGATAGAGCAAGAGTATCACTAGAACGAAGTTGAAGGTTATGTGTGTCACAAAGATACTGAAATTTGGATCTTAAATAGTCTGGAGAGTGTGGGTTAAAGAGAATTATATACAGAGTACATAACATTCTCTGCTGTTTTCTTTGACGTATAGGAAGCCATTTAAGTTGAGACCTGTAAGCAGATATGTGGTCAAATTTACGAAGACAGAAGATGAAGCTGATGGCATTGTTGATAAGACGATCCAATTTATTTAGAAGATCAGCATTCAGATCGGGGTAACAGACATCAGCATAATCAATGAGCGGAAATATAAGAGATGTTACAAGCAAAATTTTTGTTTTGATGGGGAGAAAATTTCTGAACCGATTCAAGAAACGAAGTGAGTAAACAATCTTGCGGCTCACTTCGGCAATTTGTGTGGTCCAGCTGAGAGAGGAATCAATGTAAAGGCCAAGATTTTTAACACTTAAACTAAGCGGCAGTATTGTGCCTTCATACATGACAGGCCGGAGAGAAGTATGGTCAATTTTAGCTATTTGTTTAGAGCCACCTACGATAATGGCCTGACATTTAGTTGGATTCACTTGAATTCCAAAGTCAACAGACCAAGCACTGATACGTTGCAATTCATAATTTATCATGGAAATGGCCATATCAACATCCTCAGCCAAAGTCTGGGTATAAATTTGTTGATCATCAGCGTAGAAATGGTAAGAGCAGCTAAGCGAGTAGGAAAGGAAGCTAATGAAGGCAGAAAACAACAAAGGAGAGATAATACCACCCCGGGGTACACCAGCATTCAAGGTATTCCACTTTGAAAGGTTTTGTCCAATACGAACTGCTTGTTGACGGCCCCAGAGGTAGGATGAGAACCAATCCAGTGACATTGGTGAGAAGTTGTAGGATTTCAGGATAGCAAGGAGAATACGATATTCTCAACCATATTAAAAGCGTTAGAGAAGTCTATGAGTACCATGACTGTAACCAACTGTTTCTCTATGCCTATCCTGACGTCCTCAGTAACTTACTTAACCGTAGTGGTACTATGTCCAGGGCGAAACCCAGACTGAAAAGGAGTGAGAAGATTATTGGAAAAGATAAAAGAGGATATTTGATGATGAGCAACTGCTTCAAGAACTTTAGAAAGAAAAGGAAGGATGGAAATAGGCCTGAAGTTACTAAGTAGCTGAGGAGAGGAAACTTTTAGCAGAAGAAGAACAAAAGCTTTACGCCAAGCTAGAGGAAAATCACTGTTTAGAAGAGAGAAGTTGATAATGTGCTCAATAGCTGGAAGAATATAGTCTTAAATATTGACTATCATTTCTCTGCTGACGTCATCCGATCCAATAGCTTTTGACTTGATAGATAGAATAATTTTACGGATGTCATCACTTGTCACTGGAGAAAAAGTAAAGGAATCAGAAAGAGATTGGGCTATGGAAGAAATGTTTTTGACTGTTCTATTTTTAGTATGTGGGTCAAGTGTTCTAGTTCATTGGACTTAATTTGTTGCTAATGACCTCTAGAACCTTTCCAGGAATAGGTCGACTTTTCCCGTCACCCTGTATTAATATAGTTATATCTCACCCACAATTCCACCGAAACTTGGCGGCTTAGACCAAAAGACATATTTAAATACCTTCTCGACAAGGCTAAATTATGAGGTTTATGATCCATCCCTAGGACAAGATTTTGCATCTGAAATTTTTAATCAAATCCCTCCATTACGAAAGTAATATTGCATTTCTTTATAGGGGTCGGTACCGGCATTATATTTGTATTCGGGGGAGTTGTTTCCAACCCTGGGGCGCAACGCAGGTGTAGGGGGTGTAACTACGTTTGCTCGTATAGCGGCGATGGTTGCTCCAGCCGTTGTGAGCTTGGACAGCATTCTACCTGATCTGCCAATGATGTTACTGGCCGGAGTTAGCATCGGTCAATTGTTCTTAATCCTGCCTTTGCCCGAGACTAAAGACTATCCGCTACCAGACACATTAGAGCAAGCTGAACAGTTTAAGAGGTAAAAGTAAACATTTGTATCCATACGAATATTCTAGATGCATACTCGCCTGTTACATAGTACCAGTGGCGGCTTTGGGCTATTACCCCTGATCCCACCAACTAGTGGCAGCGCTGAATTAGTCTGCTTGCCCTATGCCTTTATATTGCTTCTGCCGCCCCTGCAGCTTGTTGCAGCCACCCCGGGCTATGGTCCTCTTGGCCCTAGGATAAATATGCCCCTGACAATACAAACAAACCTTTCCCAAACTATTATTGAAAATACCACATTTCTATTACATGGAAATCAATGTTATTAGCATCAGTTTTTATTATACAATCTAACATCAAATGGAAATAGGTTATTCTTACTTGATTTGGGTTATTCCACTAATCCCCTTTGACTGGCCCCATCAATAGGGGATTGTGAACTTTTCATCCACTAATTTAATTTTTATTGTAAATGTTTTGTCCTGAACTAGTGCTGTTATTAAAATTTCATTCTATTTCCTTTCAGAATCCCTGAACAACGTAAAGCTAGTAGTAGGTAGCTCATACATTTGTAAAACAAAATGTTTGATCTATATTCTTTCCTAGAGAGAATATCTTTTACTTTACTTGAAACTTACCATAATATAGAATTTATTATTTATAATAGGGATAATAAATGATGTAAACATAATATTCCAAACTGTGAATTTATTATTTGCATTCATATAAGTACAGTTTTTAAAAGTTTGATCACAATTTTTTTTTAATTATGGAAGAATGTGAAATCATGATTTCGGACTATTGTTTCCCCGGACAGGTATGGGAAGGTACCTATTATACAATTTTAAATGTACCTAAGTCCTGATGTCTCCCTAACCTAAGGGAAACTATACACACCAGACATTGAAATCATACACATCATATATCAGCTTTAAAAATAAAATTGATTTGCTATCCAAGACAAAATGTTAAGGAACCACAAAAGAAAATAAAAAAATACGAACACAAAAATAAATTCTTACAGCAATGATAAAAAGAATATTTTTTTCAACACAACAGAATAAAAAGTAAAACAACATTTGAGACTTGATAAAATGATTTAAAAACAAAATCTATTTACTTTGAGTTGTACTTAAAAAAATGCTTTATCTATGGAAATTGATTAAATCATTATTTTCAATGATGCATTGAAATTAATGAATTTTATCCTTATTTGTAACTTTATGTCTAATGTTTTCAATCCTGTGTAACAATGTGGGATGTGAATGATACCAGGCAGAATAGAGTTTATCATAAATTGGATAATCCAAGTTATCTTTCCCAAGCTTAATGAGAGCTGACCTCAGTTCATTGGGATAATTTAATGAAACTGCAAAGTTGTCTGCTTCAAACTCATATTTCCTAGAGAGTGCTGTAGCAAAGTATGAAAGTATAGAATTGTATGGAGCAAGAATCATTTGCAATACCACAATCAGTCCAATGATGATAGGTTCCTGTCCAACAGGGAAACCCAGTGCTGTATACAATGTAGAATATTTAAATAGAAGACCAAATGCTGTAAACAGCAATAAGAGGTTCACTTCAGTTAGGACAATCGATTTGTAAATGTGACTACAACTCCAGTGTCCAAGCTCATGAGCCAAGATACCTAATATTTCATCATCTAAACATCCAGTTGTTGTCTTTTTCTCTTCATCATATTTCTCTAACAAAGTATCAAATAAGACAATTCTCTTGGCTCCAAACAATCCACTAAAGTATGCATTACTATGAGCTGATCTCTTTGAACCTTCTACAATATAGATTTGAGAAAGTGGAAAATTAAGTTTAGAAGCCAAACTTTCAATACCTTTCCTGAGGCTACCATCAGGCAGAGGAACAAATTTGTCAAACAATGGTGCAATCACAGATGGGTAAATTGTCAACAAGAATAATGTTGCAACAGTGGTAAATAACCACAACCACATGACAAACATTTTACCTCCAAGCATTATTATATAGATTGCAACTGATATTATTGGCAAAGTGATAACTAGGCTTAGCAACAAGGATTTCATTTGATCTTTAACAAAAAAACCTACAGTTTGTTTATTAAAACCATGTTTTTCCTCTAGTACAAAAATGCCATAAATTGTAAATGGCATATTTACAAAAAAGTTGAATATAGTGACAAATGTCATAAAAACACAACTTACAAGTATTTCTCTGTCTGGTGAGATATTAAAAATTAATGCAATGTTTTCTGACTTCTGCCATGCAGAATATATCCATTTGTTATAAAGGATTATAGTTGTTAATACTATGCTATACAGCTCTTTGGCAATTTTAAATTGTGACTTATCGATTCCATACAGTCTTGCTTTCTTGAATGATTCTTCATTAAGCATATCCTTTAAGTCATCTGGAATAGTGTTGTTTGTCTTGTAAATCTTTAACTGGAAAAAAGGGATTATAATGTTTTAAAAATATATAAGTACACAGTGGTGTGGATTTTAGCATGATTCTCTAAACTTTAAACAGTTTAATAGCAGTCTCTCCCTTTCATTGGGTTTGACGCAGTTTGTCCCATTCGCATTTTGTCACGATTTCAAAAAAGGTCCCATTCGCATTTGCTCCCATTCGCAAAAGGTGACACGCTTAGATAAACTAACAGTTGTTTAACATTTTTATAATGGTGGTATGTTTGAAAATAAAAACATGCAGCTTTTAATAACTACGTGTATTTAATATAAAATAAACATCTTTACAAAATCAACATAACAATATTTATTATTATTTTCAAAATCAAAATAATATTATACAAAAAAAGCGAAGAATTAAACATTATTTTTGCATTGAAATAGAATAATTGGATATAAGAATGCATGAAGGGTCCACACTTCATGAGCTTGTGTTGTTTTCTTAAACATGTAATGTCATATTGAAGTCTTAGAACAATTTAACCTTCTTCTTCTTCCAACGGGCGTTTCCGCAACTCGACGTCCTTGTGGCGCCTGTTTTGCGTTAGGAGGGTGTATAGCCGGAATCATTCGGCCAGTCCAGCTCCATCAGGAACGCCCCCAGGGCCTTCACATTGGTGACTCCCTCTTGAAGGTTTCCCGATGAGCCGAGGTATTTCGCCCGGTATTCGGTCACTCCATTGCATTCCAGCAGAACGTGAGTAGCTGTTTCTTCTGCCTCCATACATCCTCTGCATAGGGGGCTGTCCGTGACACCTAAGTTAAAAAGATGTCTGTTAAAGTGCATATCCGGTAATAGCACCTGTTATCATGCGCAATGTAGGTTTGCTTAACTGTAGAAGAGTTTTGGAGAGGACAGCGTTCACCCGTGGCTAAACGAGCTTGGTCTGCCTGCACGTCTTCAGTTCGAGCCAGTATTGCTGGTGTAGTGCGGCTGCGTGCTCGCGGATTTTACTTGCCACCTTGTCCGCAGCGTCGTTTTCGCGTGATCCGCTGTGTCCCATGATCCATTGGATAGTAATAGAATTGCTTGACCCTACCGTGTTTAAGGTCTGGTGGCATTCTTGCAGGAGGCTCAAGCATCTAGAGCTTGTAGGACTGATTTGCTGTCAGACAGTATTCGTATTTCCTGTCCTGTTACCTTTCTCAAAAGGATCGCTTTTGCCGCCAGTATGATGCCCATACATTCAGCTTGAAAAACTGTGATGTACGGGTGTAGGGAATCTGTGTACCTTCGATAATGTTCCCTACATTTATTTAAAGGAAACTATTAAATGCAGACTGATAATTTATTTGCCTTTGTTCTACATTAACATTTTCGACATATATTGTTACTATCTAATCGCTATAGCAACGACACACACCGAACCATAAATAAAGCAAAGATATTCTCTACACGTGGGAACGAAATGGATATCTCTAACAACGGGCTTAAGAGGAAAGCGATGTTTATATTGGGGTCCTCAGAGAAAACAACCGCGCCCGAGCCCGATGAGGTTTTAGAGCCATCGGTGTAGATCTTGAGAGCCTCGTGTGTAGTAGATGTATTCTGCACTTTTTGTCAAATATGAAGGCAGGTATTATTTTATCGCATGCCGCTTCTATGAGCGGAGTGTTTACCGATTCCTTCAGTATACCGTTAGATGCCTTGCTCTTTCGAAACTTACCAGTCCATACTTTTGTAGTCTTAACGCCGTTTTAGCCGCTTCCTGTCTTATAAAGATGTTGAGCGGTGTGATGTTTAACAATTTCCAGTGCTGCGGTTGGAGCCGTACTCATGCACCCTGTCACCGCGCTGCATATCTGCCGCTGAAAGCTTTGCAGTTTATTGACAAAGGTTGTTTGGTTAGATCTCGGCCACCATATGATGGCGCCATAACTTACGATTGGTCGTATGACTGTGTAATATAACCATAGGAACAGTTTTGGTGCAATACCCCAACGCTTCCCAATCATTTGACGACACTGCCATAGTGTTATGTTGGCTGTCTTGATTTTGTGTTCCACATGGTTACTCCAGTTTAGTTTACTGTCAAGTATAAGGCCTAGATACTTGTACTTTACCACCTTCGACTGTTGTAGTGTGGTACCAAGCAGATTCGGTAAGTTGAAAGCACCTACGTCACGTTTGGTTGTAAACATTACCAGCTCTGTGTTAGTTGGATTAACTGGTCGTTAATCCAACTAACACAGACACTGGTAAGGTCGTATTTCCTGTACCAGGTGTTACAGGTATTGCTGGCGTGGGTGCCTAGGGTAATTATAGTAATGTCATCTGCATACCCTATGCTATGGTGTAGTAGTGGTTCGAGTTTAGCTTGGTCTGCAGGTCGTCGACTACGAGGTTCCACAGAAGTTGCGAAAGAACCCCTCCTTACGGACATCCTCATGCCACCAATGCTCCTTTGCTGTCCTCACCTGTTACCCGACTATTCTATTGCGAAGCATGTTAACTGTCCAGTCAATGATTTGTTGCTGCTCCACTCCGTGTCTTCTGAGAGCAGACTCAATACTGGTGAAATTGGTCTTATCGAAAGCACCTTCTATATCGATGAAGGTTCCTAGGCAGATAAGTTTATTTTGAAGGGCATCTTCTATCTTACCGACTAACTGATAGAGCCGATTCAGTAGATTTGCCTAAACTGTAGGCATGTTGGTGCTTATGTAGAGGGGCATTGATTAATACTTCACTGCGTAGGTACCTGTCGCATAGCCTTTCCATTGTCTTAAGTAAGAAGGTTGTTAGGCTAATGGGCCTAAAGGATTTAGGATTAGTATAGTCGGTTTTACCCGGTTTGGGTATGAATACTACCTCGACCTCCCTCCACAGATGTGGAGTGTACCGATGGGCCAGACATGACCTTAATATACGAGTAGCCGCATAGACCACGCCCTGTCCGCCTCATTGTAGTAGTGCTGGAAAGATGCCGTCAGAGCCAGAACACTTGAAGGGAGCAAAGCAGTCAATAGCCCACTTTACTTAGTCAGGCGTAATTATCGTCTCTGCTAGTCTCCAGCATCCTTCTGTAGTATTTGGAGGTGCGTCTTGCCAAATCACTTGTTCTGTAAGCTGGTAATCCGGAAAGTGGGTTTCTAGGAGGATAGCGTCGCATTCAGCCCGATTGTGGTACAATGTGCTGTCAGCTCGACGCAGGCTTCCCAGCACGCTAGGGCCTTGCTTGGCCAGCAATTTCCTCACCCGGTTTGCCTGATAGGTGGAGCTTATCTCCTCGGTGTAGTTTCTCCAGGAGACTGTTCTCCAGTATCTGATACGTTTCTCGTACTTAGCTTTAATAGCTTTGTAGTTATATATATATATTTAAAACATGTAACTGCTTGATGTTTAAATCTAAAGAAAATATAACCCCTAGCCAGGATCACAGGCACAATGTCCATCGAAAAAATCGTTTCAGCTCTGGATTCCCGATCTGCAGGCAATGCCTGATTGAAATCCAATTTGACAATTTAACCTTCTATAGATAACGGGTCAGCGCGTAAAATCCGTCTCGGTAATATTGCCTCACTTGAGGTGTGAGATCTTATTTTAAATTAGTTCGGTTAATACAAAAGGAACTAACTCGCTAGCCAATGACCGGTAAAAATATTTTATTATATTGGTCATAAGGTGGATTTCACATTTTCCTTTTTTATTTGATGAAAATGTATAATATTGTTGTGTTGATTTTGTAAGAATGTTGATTTTTGAAATAATACATGTACATAATTATTAAAATGCAAAATATGAAAAATATATTGTACTTAAAAACTGAATCGTAATTCAATAACTCTGCAATAATGTAAATATTTCTTTCTACAGATGTAAAAATAATCTTTCATTCTTCACTTTTTTTGTAAATTTTATTTTGATTTTGAAAATAATCTTTATATACATAATTCTTCTGTGAGTGTGTATGTCACTGAACTTCTCTTAAACGACAGGACCGATTTTGATGAAATTTTTTGTGTGTGTTCAAGGGGATCTGAGAATGTTTAGATTCACAATTTTGTCCGCTGGACAATGTTTTTTTAATTAATTTTTTTTTATGGCGGTACGAAGTTCGCTGGGTCAGCTAGTAATAAATATAGTTGCAGGGATTTTTGAAAAAATACACAATTATTAAAAGCTGCATGTTTTTATTTTCAAACATACCACCATTATGAAAATGTTAAACAACTCTTAGTTTATCTAAGTGTGTGACCATTTGTGAATGAGACCAAATGTGAATGGGACAAACTGCGTCAAACCCCTTTTTTCTGTATAGAGAATTTATGTTTAGAGAATCATGTCAGAATCGACACAAGTATATTGATAAATATTTTTTATTCATTGATTTCTTAGGAGAATTAATTTGGTTTTAATGTTTGGACACCATGCAATTCAAGCAAAATCCAATTAATACCAAACAATAGGTAATATTAGGGTCAAGTGAACATGGTCAATTTTATCAGTAACAAATATATTATCACCTATATGTAGGTACTTGTGATAAATTATACCACTTATAAGGCAAAACTTTAGTGAGTTAAAATTATTGGACACGTATATGTAACTAGATATCATACTCTGGGTTCATATGCTGCATACAAGAATTTTATTCTTAAGTATATAAAATACCTATTATAATAAATTTGTTCCCAAGCAAATATAAAAAAATACTGAGCATTTTGGTGCCTGAAATAATTTAGTTTGATAAAAACGAATGATTTATTTAGTGAATCTTCTTGTCAAAGGCTATTGTTCCGTTTTGAGTGAAAATATGTATATATACATGGATGGCCACGCTGATAACTGTAGATAGACCTTTCCAATCGGTCTTAGACGAATAACAGTAATGTAATTTTTGTGGGAATTCAATATTTATCAGTACAAAACACAGTATTTATTATTATATATACATTAATATTAAGAAAAAATAAATTACCTGACGTAAAGAGAGATACTGCTCCCATAAGTATTCCGCCCAAGAGAATAGCAATATAAGGTAGACAATGCTATCTTCATTTAAAGTGATCGCCATTATGAGTTACAATACAATTCAAAGTGACAAGAAGTTGTTATTAATTATTATAACATTTAGTAAAAACACCAACAGATAATAAATGCTGCACCAAGCAAGCTGCAAGCCGGCCCGTATTAAAGGTGGCTGGCTGGAACTGTCAGTGTCATTTCATTACATTATCCGTGTCACTGTCATATTAGGGCTACGTTCAAAACCTATGCTCTAAGACCGCTAGGTGCAACAATGTGAAAGTTGATACTGGTGCCAAATTCTGACGTGATTCTCTAAACTTAAAACTAAATTTAACATAATTCTCTCCTTTTCATTCTGTTTAATGAATGACAAGGATATACTACTGTCAAATTTAAGTTTAGGTTTAGAGAATCATGCTAGAATCGACACCATTAGCTTCTTAAATAATTTCAAATTGAAACGTCGCGTTCAGAGTAAACAATTGCACTTAGAGCGTAGGTTTGGAACCTAGCCGTTTTTACAAGACTGCATGATGATAAGAATGTCGTATTCATACATGTTCATACAGACAAGTCTTATTATTATTCTCAGACCAAATAAAAAGTATAGACGGAGTCTGCCGAACCAAAAAGTGAAGCCGATAAAACTACGCCTCGCCGTGTACATACACAGTTACACGCACACACATGCAACGAAACTACGCCTTGGCTTCTCAGTCGAGCTATCCCGACGCGCGGAGTGTGACGTAATAATAAATAACAATATTTATTAGAGAAAATGCCGAATTGTGTAGTGAAAACGTGTAAAAACCAATCTTCCAAGAATAAAAAACAGGATGGAATCACATTTCATACGTAAGTAAAGTTATAAACTGCTATTTTCAATTAATCAAAATCAAATTTGAGGTTGTCGCTTTGTAAACAAAACCTGAACGAAATGTTGCCATGATTATTCGTTATAGTTTTACCCTTTTGTTGGGTAGCGTGAAATATAACGTAACGTTATTTTATTATATACATTGTGTGGCATACTTTTATATTATTCGAATATTGTAATGCATGGATAAACAATTACACGAAACATCTTTTTTCTTTATGTATTCGTTTAATTTTTTTGGGATGTAATACACATTATTTAATATACGTTCTTTTTAAGCTTTCCTAATCGAGATCAAGATCTAAAAGAGAAATGGATTGCAGTCATTCGTAAGAGTAGAAATGCACCATTGTGGCAACCAGCTTCCCGCAGCGTGGTTTGTTCGACTCATTTTCAGAGTGACGATTTGTAAAATATTAATATATTTGTAATTTTATTTGTATTGTACTTTTTAATGGCCTTTTTGACCCAAAATTCGCGATGTTTGTGGATTTATTTTATTATGTTCTTGTATAGGAACTTGTGATTATATTTTGTGTATTCTATAGAAAATTTCATGTACATTTTAATAAAAGAAACTGTTTATCAACATGTGTATATGCTTTTCGTTTTATCGACATAAAGTTGAGATGACTGATTTGTAAGCGATTTCAAGTGCCTTGTTGCGAGCGCTTGAAACTATAAAATGAACAAACCTATTCCATCCGAGACTTGTAACTAAAGTAAAATAATCAATCCAACATAATTAAACGTCAACACATAAATCAAGGCACTCGGATCTCGCATTTGTTTTTATCAACACTTGCAACACGACCCTTTTTTTTCTGTTGCGTGTTATATTTTATAATTGTATTTGGTAAGTTATTATATACATTCATTCATATATAGTACATTCTATATGTACAAAAACCTGGATTTATAATTTACAAATTTTGAAAATACACCTCATTTTATCTATTTAAACGACTTTTTTTATCTTTCCTGAGTTTACCATAATGTAATTAAAATAAATTATAGACATGACGCATTGTGTACACACTGTTTTATTGAAAATTTTATGGAGAATCCAAATATACGTTTGTGAAGGGTATTTTTACAAAATAACAGAGAAATCGGCAGAACAATGCAATCGTTCCCACCCAGCGGGCGAGCGGTCCATAAAGAAGTCCGGCACTTGTAGGTGAGAACGGCGCATGACCTTTGGCTCACGAGAGGTTTAGAGAATAAGCTTACGATATTTTTTCTAATATTTTATAACGTTATTAAAAATGCATTTTTCTAATATTGTTTCATATGACTATGGTAACACTGGCTAATGCACTACATACATAAAAAACCGGCTTCACTTTTTGGTTCGGCAGACTCCGTCTTTACTTTTTATTTGGTCTGAGTTGTTATTTATAATTTATTAATCAATGTTTTTTTCAATTATTTGTAAATGGAGTGGGATTTATTTCCTTACAACATTTTTTCATTTATGCTATCGGATATAGCTTGTAAATATGAATAATAAATCAAAATAACAAAGCTACAGCCAAAACTATATTCATGAGATACAGTCCTTAGAGTATCCATATACTCTGTATAAAGATACAGCCCACTGAATTCTTATGCCTCCCCCCTTACTTAAAGCTCGCGCCCATAGATGCGCTATTATCGGTTGATAATATCGGATGAGTTCTTGAGATAATTCACGGCTGGGTACAGATGGACCCAGCCCCGGGGAATTTTATTTAAGTACTTTCAGTATTTAATATACCACGACTATATGACCCCCCCTGGAGCCAAAGCTGGATCCGCCCTTGCCCCTTGGGTTTATTATTTTTCCTGACCACCGTGCTCTAGGTTTTCACTGTTACTATTCTGACCTTCTTCCGGCGATAAAAACTGTATCCCTTTGAGATGATTTTTTATTTAAGGCGAATAAAAAGAAGTCACAGAGAGTCAAATCAGTAGGTACTGTAAGGAGGGTGTCCCAAGACTGTGACTGGTGTGGAGTCCAGAAAGTACTTCGTATTGATCGCAGTGTGCGGGCGCGTTGTCGTGGTGAAGAAGGACCCCGTGGAGCCCGGTGTTAGGTCGCTTGTTGCTCATTGCAGAAAATACTTCTGGCAGCAATTATGTGCCATTTGGCGTTGATGCGACTTTGGTCTCGAAGTGGAATTGAAAATAGGTACCTCCTCAAAGTGAAGAAACTAGTAATCAAAATGTTCCCTGCGCTTCTCGATCGCTTCACTTTCGTAGGCGTTGGTTAATTTTGAAACAGCTAAACTGTCGACTGACGCTTTGTTTCTGGATCGTATTGATATATCCAGGATTCATCACCTGTCACAATATCGTAAACGCGCCGTGACGAGCCTGCATCAAATTTTTGTATCATATCACTGCACCAATCCACACGGGTCTTCTTCTGAGCTTTGGTGAGTTTATGCGGCACCCAGTGGTAAACTCTCCTCCTTACGTAAAGGTGCTCGTGCAAAATCTTGTGAACACTTCCTGAACCAATCTGCAGAGTATGCTGAAACTCTTCGTACATAATTCGTCTGTTTTCTTGAATTATTTTTTTTACTACCAGCACATTTTCTTCGGTGACAGCCGTCGTAGCACGATCACTCCTTTGTTCATCCCCCAAAGTAAGATCACAGGCGCGCCCATCCGCCGGAATTGTCGCTGGCGACAAGTCCGCAGACAAATCCGCGTGTGAATGTATTGGTGAGCGCGGCTCTCGGCTCGGCACGGCGGCGGTGCCGGCGCTCGCCTCAAGAGACGCGAGCGCCGCACCTCAGCCGCGCCGTACAAGTCCGCACGTGTGTGTGCTTGCACAGATTTATCGGTGAACTTGTTAGTCATTTGTAGTGCGTGCACGCAGAACGACCTCTTAACCTGTTAATTCTGTATCACGTCTGTATCACCTTTTTGACGTTTATGCAATACTGTTTTAAGTCAAAAAGTTGAACATAATACGCATTTAAGTTGATATCAAGTTAATATCATTTTAAAGAGTTGATAATAATACGCTTAATTTGATGTCATTTTGATATCGCATTTTTCGGAGAGCATAATACGTAATGTGAAATTTGACATCAAAACAATATCACAATAAGCGAACATAAAGAGCTAATTTTATCTCTTCTACAAGGGGTTTATCTCTTCTACACATATGTCCTCGGCATGAGCACGTTCTAAATAGTCCATTACTAACCCGAAACGAGCCATTTTACTCTTTTTTTATTAAAAAAAAGGAATTTGATACAGAAAAACCACCTCGTAACTTGTTAAGTCTGTATCACATTTTTGACTTTTATGCGATACTGTTTTATGTCAAAAAGTTGAACGTAATACGCATTTAAGCTGATATCATTTTAAAGTTGATGTCATTTTGATATCGCATTTTTCGGAGAGCATAATACGTAATGTGAAATTGACGTCAAAACAATATCACACGTAGTTACGCGAAAACGTTCCAACCCACAAGTCACTCGAAAATGAGTTACCATAACCAGGGTACTATTTTTGCCATATTACATCATGTGCACACAAAGATGCTAGTATTTTTAAGTTAGTTTCATCAATAAAGTTTAACCCAAATGTTCCAACCCACCATTATGCCAAGGACGTGTACTCAAAATAAAGTAAAAACATTACATGCATACTGAAACATATTGTTAAAAACTCTTAATAGAATAACATATCGTTATAATGTTCCACTTGTCTTGGAACATTATACTAAATTCATAAAACGCACATTTAATGGTTTCTTAAATGATCCATGTGGGTTGGAACGTTTTTGCAAAATCTTTATACATTTTTTATTTCTGCAAAAATGTTCCATGTAATTTGAAACCCTTTAGATTAATCCATACTGTTTTTTTAAGCTGCGAACACTGTTCTAAATAAATTGAAACCTTTTATTATAATATATTATTTTCATATTTTTTGCTATAAACAATCCACATATACTTGATCCATTTTTGCTATTAAATATGTTCTAGAGAAAAAGATATTTTTTACCAAAATAAATAACTATGGTATATTTGGACGTAGTAACGCGAAAATGTTCCAACCCACAGCAACCCCAATTTGCAATTTACACACTTTTTCCCTGTAATTATTTCAGGCAAATACTATTGGTTTAACTATGGAATGCCAAACTGATTATTGAATGATATGCATATTTTTTGTAAATACATAATACAAGGGGCATATAAATAGGTAAAACGAGTTTGAAATGTTTTTGCTAAATTAATTTTGTATGAACCTTGTTAAATAGCAATTATGCATAAACTTTCCAAAACGAATTTAAGTGTATTATTTTATAAAAATAAACCAAAAAGAAATATGTAAAATAATAAATAA